CACAAGCTGAAATTTATGGTCTTTGGAAACAGTTGAAGCCTTATTATGTGTAAGCATTTTTTTTTTTTCTTTTATGGGGTTGTAGACTTTTTATGTCTATATCCCTTGGATTTTGTTTCTTTGAGTCTTCTCTCTGTTGTTTGACGGTTTATGTATTAATAGGTCACTGATTCATATGATGTTATTCTTGATCTTTGTAAGATCTTCATGTGCTTTAGAATGTAGTGCTTTTTCGTGGGAGGATGATTTTCCTGTTACAAGTAAAGAGGAATGTGGATGAATTATTTTTATCTTTTTTAGTCCTTTTAATATATTGGTTGGCACAAGTTGAAGACACTGACGTGCGTAGAGGGAAATGGATACCGCCATCTTATAGAGTGGAATAGAACATACTTTAAGCTGCAGCAGCCTCATATTTACTGCTAAATAACGAAAATATAACCCGCGGTCACCGCTCAAATTCTAAGTTGATTTGCTTGTTTACCTTGCCAAGGAAAATACAACACTGACCAGTTAACTCTTTACTAATTCATTACTTCGATGCCCTAAGTAGTACCTGTGTTAATACGCGCATGTCAAAACAATACTTGGCCAATTATCAGTTTATACTGTTATACATATATGCTCCTAGAGTCTTTTATTAATGTCATTATACTTCATTTATGTATTTTAAGATTAATTTATAGCCTTATTTAGAATCATGCGCATCATGGATTCCACACTTCCTTTTATAGCCACCAGTGTGACAGCTGGCTAGCCCGCTCATTTCAAGGTGGAACACTGGTAAAAAATGTTGCATTTCTAGTGCTGCGTTGATTCTGGGTTATTCTTAAGACTATTCAGTGACAATGAAGATAAAATAGACTTCAGTGGCGATCCCAGTTTAATATCTGGGCCCATCAAAGCTCCAAATGCCCAAAAAGTTATTAAAATCGAAGCAATCCAAAATAGTAGTGTGGCTGTCTTAGCTAGAATGCCTGGTTTTGTTTCCTTCCACAAAAGAGTAAAAATATTGAAACAAAGCAGCAACTAATAATGGAGCTGTGTATCTAGTATTTATAATGATAGTAATGCTTATTATGTCTCTTTCAGGTTTAAGGAACTGACTGCTAGTAATAAATCGGATACAAGTCTATATTCATATAATCCATGCTACAGTTATGTCTTCCCACCTGATGGTCAAGAAATGTCATGTGGCAAAGATGTGGCTGTAAGTTGTTTTATATTTTTTCTTATTTACTCTTTTTAATGATGTTCTAAAGCAAGATTAGTCCACTTACTTAATAGCTTTTACAAATATTTTTGAAGGGGAAAACGTTAGAGATAACCTCTACAAGAATTAGATATCAAATTGAAGAATTTACATATTGCAGGTCTGGTAGTTGACTCTGAGTGATGTATTTTGAATTATATTGGTAATTTTGTTTGTTATGGTGAAATGAATATCATCATTAGAAGAATTTAAATCCAGAATCTTACTCTTATTTATACTTGGTACTTATTGATTCCTTGCAAATGATATTATAATTTTCTGTTTTTAGGTGTGTCAGTCCAGTACCTCAGGTCCTATCAATGTTGGGAAACAGAGTCTTGCAAAATTTCATTTTGATAATTCAACAGACCAGTGGATACTGTCATATTATAATGACATTGGAGATAGGTGAGTAATGAAAACCTGTATCCAAAGATATGAGATGATTTACGATTAATTTATGGTTTTTAAATGTACTAACAGTGGTCATAAATATTTTTTGGTGAAAGACATTTTACTGATTAATGGAATAGAATGTATTATAAATCACAGTAGCATTAAAATTAATTACATTTATTTGCTTTTTTCCTTTTGATTACAGGTTGTCAAATGTTATTTTACAGTGCACTGACAATGACAATGACGTCCTTGAGGTATTTGGTGAAACAACAGGCCAACATAGGAGTGTATTTGTAAGTTGAATGTTTACATAAATTATATTTATTCATACAAAAAAATGTAAAATGGTTCCCTACTTGTATTCTAGAATAAGAAAGAAGTAGGTCTACAGAGGCCTACTTAAGATATCATTTCCGAATATGTAACATTTCAGAACAGGTCGTTAGCACTATTTTTATATGGTAAAGATGTGTATAGCCTTTATAATATTAAAGTATTTTCAAAATCTTCTAATATATTACAAACACATACGCAGCCCAAACAAAGTTTACAAGTATTCTGAAAAAAAAAAACTGTCTTCTTTCCCTTAGAACATGACCCTGAAATCCAAGTGTGCATGCATAGGGGGCTGTCTGACTCCTATCCTACCCCACGGCATGTCTGTTGGGTCGCTGTTCCTGCTATTGCTCCTCATCTTCATTTGCGTGTACCTGACAGTGGGATACCTGTACCGTCGATATGTTATAGGTGCACGGGGCATTGAGTTGCTCCCACACCTTAGCTTTTGGATGGACTTTCCATATCTTGTTCAGGTACATTTATATTGCTTCTTTAATTTTTGATTAAATTTTCTTTTTTTAATATTGTTATTGACCATTTCATTTATTGTGTTGTTTGCATATATATATGCATTTAGTTTTTCATTTATCTAAACTGATTATTCATATTTTTATATGTATTTGTCAGTTCAGTTGTTATTACTCATGTCTTCTGTAGGCAGTTGTTTCTGTGCTACCTTTGTTTTGTATGTGCTTTATTTTGTATTTGTTTTATTTTGTATATTGTATGTGCCAATGTATGTTTAGGCTTGTCTGTATCTGTGCTTTGTGTTGTTTTTATTCTGTGGGGTCTCTGAAACGTGTTACTCTCAAATTATGCATTCTAAAGATATATAGGTGTGAGTGAAAGGTATGATGCAGTGACTCTAAGCATTTGTTTTGTGGTATATATAGGTGTAGCAGAGAAAGGAAATGAGTTTAAGAGGCAGCTTTAATTGTGATATGTTGAGTTATAGAATTGGAATGTGTTAGCCAACTTTCCAGATGTGACTACTATTTTGTATTCTTGGCATACAAATGTACCATCTTGTATGTAACTGCTTTTGTGTTTGCCATTGATAATTTCTGGGGAATTGTTGAGTGCAAAGAGGTGTAGAGAGTACTTTGCTTGGAATCCTGGTGTGGTCTCTGTTGGAATGCAGGTGTTATGATCATGATGTTTTTATTTTGCAGAGTTATGATCTTGGTGGCTTGTAGTTGTTTTTGATTTTTGTTAGTTTGTGTAGATCTTAGTGTTATGTGATGGTAAATGTGATGTGATTTGTTAATGTAATCACAGTTGTTCAGTTGGCTAGAAGAGTGCTGGCTCTAGGTAGGACACTGTTTCCAAGCTCAGAATCCTGTTCTTGCCTACTGCAGCAGGCAGTGCAGGGTGTTACAGAAAATTGAATAATACAAGAAATATAAAGAAAGATACAAATAACACTACATTACTTTTTGTTATTGCACTAGATTGTAGACTACCTAGAGAGATGATATGGTGTCTGTGCAAGGAAAACATTAAATTATTATCTTGACACAGCATGTCAGTCAAATGACAAATATAGAACTTGGATAATAGACAGATTTTTGGTGGGTTGCAAAGCACCCTAGGTCCAAAGGTTTAGAAATAACCCATTTTCCGACAAATTCAAGGAATTAGGAAACCAGGCACAGTCACCAGGGCCTATTAATTGACTCCTTGGAGGCTGAACACTTGTGTTGGTGTTGTTAAGTGGTGATAGTATGGTAGTGGCAGTCTGATGAACTCCATGTCTTTTCTAAGCATTAGGGATGTTAAGGTTTTGGTCTGTTTTGTCTGCCATTGCCTTATTGGCATTTATATTCTGATAAAAATAAATATCATTTATTTATATGGTTGTCATTAGTAATATTCAACTGATAAAGGTTAATGGTTTTGATAGTAATCATTATTTATTTCCTTTCAGGATGGATTCTTCTTCCTGCTGTACTGCGGAAGGAGAGATGTTACTTATGAAAGAATATGAAATAAAGCTTTATATATCTGGAGTAGGATTTATACATTAATCTCTTTATTTTTCTTGCCTCTATATTAACTAGAAGCAACAGCTTGGTGAATTGTGATTATAAATTCCTAGAGCAGAATACTAAAGACAATGGATCATCCATATTTTACTATTATGTGATAAGAAATATCATCTGCCATTCTAGGTAATGATGTATTTCATGTCAATACTTTGGGTTAGATGTCAAGTAAAAGGATTGAGATTTCATTTCATGATGGGCCTGAGTTTTGTAAATGAATATTTAATAGGGATCAACAGTTTATTTATTAATCAATATTTTTGCTTTCATACAGGGAGGCAGATTTTTTTTCTAACCATCTTTGCACATGGAGTAAGATTTCCCCTTATTTTATCCTAATATTGACAGAAAGGATGATTTTTGTTGAGTTAGTGCTAGTGGCCTTAGAAGTTGGCAGAGAGAAAAAAAGGATCAAGTAAGGGATCTCTCATGCACTTAAAAGTGGTGCTTGGCTCTTAATTTTCCAAGACGCAAGTACTCAAAGTTTGTATACAATTGCCTAAATTGTTTAGTGTTCTGTTTATTAAAGCCAGGTCAACTTCAATTTTAGAGGCTTTTAGATATGCATTGTAAATGGGCTTAGGAAAATGACTTTTGTTATTGTGAAAATTACAAATTATGGCATTTGTGATGGAGAACTCATTTTTAGGTAATTAGCTGTTCTTTGTAAAGCAAATATATATTCACTTATTTTGTAGATGTAGAGACATTGTTTATTGAAAGTATTTCGCCCAAATGACAAGTAAGGTTTGTAAGCCTAGTACTCAATCGTATTTTATTTTAAAGTTGAGGTTCCAGTTCCACTTGTTTCAGATTTCTGAATGTACATCAACTTTGGCTTTGACTTGATTGTTACAATTAGAGCATTAAGAAGTATTTGTAAACTGACCAAAGCAATGCCCCCATTTTATATGTTCTATGATGGAGTTGAGAAAAAACATGAATCACATAACAAAATTATATTGTTAATTATTTTCATGTACTTAATGTATGAAGCAGTGATGGGATTGTCTGATGTGATGAATAATCCTGTTAGGGTTATAGATGCCTTATTTAGGATTAATTTCCCTCAAATGGTTTAGGCAGAGGATTTGGGAAGACATATTTTTTATATAATATCCATGACAAGATGTTACTTTTATACAAATGAGATATTTTTTCGTCTCGTTTATGAATGACTATTTTCATGTTATTTTTACATCAGAGTTATAATGAATATCTAAGAGATTGTAGCTGTTAATACAGCTATATTGAGTCTTAGCTTGGTAAATAGATTCATATGAAGTGATCACGGTAAGCAGAGTAATATTTCATGAATGAATTATTTCTGCATTATGGAACAGACTAACATTATAAAGTTATATAATAAAGTGGATTAAATATGTATTTTTGTATCAGTAAGGTTGTGATGTATTTGTATTGCTGTTTTGTCATGCTTTATATTTTTCTCCATATCAAGAGTTGTGATCTTACTGTATGTATGAAATTTAAGGCCCCCCAAACAAGTTTGTGGAACTTATTCAACAGAAATTACTCTGAATCTTGGAACTACATTTTAAAAAATCTGAAAATGTGACATTCAAAGATGCAATGTTTTTAAAGCATAAGGTAGAAGAGAGTGCTGGAATTAAATGAATGTAAACATTGCAGTGCTTTTATGTTGTTTTTAAGCTTCTTGTATAAGGGTTTCAATGTTGCCTCAACAGATAAAATAGAGAGCATTTCTTTTAAAACCGATTTTCTGAACAATTTTCTAGCTTAAAGTGTGTGATATGCTCTTAAATCTTAGGATCCTAGGTAATATGTGTTCCTGACTTATATCTTGACCAGATGTAAAATTGGTAAATTATATGGCATGTGCCTTACTTTCATCATTGGTTATTTCTTTTGTCATTAGATTTTGTATTACATTTTTGCAGTCCATTATGTTCAGTCTCTTCTCAGTTTCAAATCTTTGAAGCATGCTATGGCTAAGAAATGTTTTGTATCTTCATAAATTACTATCCACAGGAAGTTGTACAGAACTGACTGAAAGTTTTCTTTTTTCTCTTTTTAGGCCATAAGATTCTGATCATTGTCAAAGGAATCACTTAATTTAAGTCATTTTTAATCATGAGGAAAATGGTAACACAGTGAAAACCCAAAAGTAGAATAAGATTGAAGAATTCTGTAGTTTGTTTCCTTTTTAAATGGCTTCAGAATATTTCCTATGAAATTTGGATACAATGTTTACTGAAGCATATCTTTGAATAATACAGTTTCCTATTTTTTCTATTAGTCTTTTATTCACCTAACAATTGAGATGACTAATAACTGGAGTCTGACATAGATGCATGGAAAGAAAAAAGTAAGAGGGAAATGAAAGAAGAGATTCAGAGAAAGGATAATAAGTTAATTAAAGGAAAAGGCAAATCCTTTATTCAACACAGAGGTCAGATGTCAAAACTTGGCATTTAGGACATCCTCTAGACGGTTGACGCATAGCAACTATCACCTGTCACCACCCTTTACTATACCTTCCTATAGTGCTATATGACCTTAGATGAGTAGCACATTTATTTCGCTTTTAACCTTTAACCATTACCCATTAGGACATCCTCCCAAACACTGCCGTTCCACAGCCCAATGCCCTCTATGTACCCAACCTGGTCATAACCGTAAACTGCTCTGCACAGTCACTCATATGTGTTAACTGCGGTGGCCCCCATAATGTATTTTATAGGGGCTGCCCCACCTAGAAGTTTGACTCTACTCCTTATAGGAAAACCTCTGTCCTACAAAACCCCCCAACCAATTCTGTTTCAGAAACTAGAAGATATTCAAAACTATCTGCTTGAGTCCCAGAATGACAAAGAAAACCCTCATCCACCCTCAAATTCCACAATTGCCACACCCTCCACACTCAAAGTGACTGCCAATATCCAGCCTCCTACTCATATTCCTCCCACCTCCAACTACACCCACATTAACCTTCCCTCCATCCCCTCTATTCCTTTCACTCCCTCCAGGATACACACGTGGATCTCTCATGTCACAACTATGCCCTTCCCCAGAGCCTCCACCTACTGATACCCCTCCTGATACTACACAATCTCCCCCCTCTAATTCCTTATCTCACCCCTTATCACAGACCTGACCCTCGTCATATCCTTTCTTCTTATAACCCATTCATTATCTGCCTCCAAGAGACTTTTCTTACACATCCTCCTCTGCTTTGACAACCTGTTCTCCCGCAGACGCATACATATCCTTCACCTGATCTACATAACCCCACTGTTCACTCATCAACTCCTTTACCCATCTTTAACCTTTGTAATATTACTCTTGACAGTTGATGCATAGCAACTGACTACTAACCCTTCACTACCCTTTATTGTACCTTCCTATAGTGCTATATGACCTTAGATGTCTAGCACATTTATTTTAACCATTAACCATTGAGGTATTAGCAGGTTAGTACACAGTAAGCTTTCACTACTTAAATCAATTAATAATGTAATTCACACAAAAAATCTCAAAAATTAAATCTAAATTTGTACTCTTACAAAAATAGCAAACTCAAGGTATTTACATACTGGATGGAATAGCAGGTACACTGATATGTTTGTTTCAGCAATACTTCCTCTCATATACAAGAATTACTATGAAATTATCTTCATAATAACCACTAAAATAATGACTAGTAGATACAAAACATACAAAAGTATATTGCAGGGAAAATTTCCATTTGTCACAAACTTAAGAATTAACTTATTCTGATAAAATGACTGAAAGAAAAAATAATAATAATAACTTACAAGTCAAAATTATCAAAACAGCACACTGGAAGTATAAAAATAAATTCATATAAAACTAAATCCAAAAAAATACAGCATCAGAAGTTGAGGAATTTTAAAACTACAGTTAAAAAATCATTAAATTTCTCAGTTTCACAAGACTATATTAAGTGTCACCCTGTGGTCCACGACCTTTAATAGTTATCTCACAACAAAGACAATTTATTGTGGAGCACTCGGGTGTTGTGCAACTGCAAGTGCAACTACTACAGTCGCACAAAGGTCCTGGAGAACATGCAGAAGGAGCAGAGCACCAGTTATAGCAGTTGTTGCAGTCTATGCAAGGATTCTCACAGCAACTTGTGCAGGATGTACACTCTGAGCAATCTGGACAAGGTCCACATGCCTCCAGCTGGAGGCAAGTGCATTCCTGAAATGGTAAGATTTTTTGGTGAAAACTTAAAACCTGTAATTTTAAGTGAATATTCCCCTTGTAATCTTGGGGGATCATATATACAAATACACATGATATACACAAACAAAAATACACACAGTACATACATCTACCTATTTATGTATTTCTTGTATCTACTGTATAGAACTATCCATCTTTAACCAAACAATATACACACCTGATTTCCTGGGCAACAACAGTCTAACAGCATTGAACATGAAGGCTTTGGCCCACAGCAAGAACAGGCTTGGGCACATCGTAAGCCCATTTCAGCACAGTTACAGCAAGGGATATGAGGACAGCCTCCCCCACACACACCTTTCTTCAGTAAACATTGTCTAATGCTAAGACCTAAAAAGTAATAAAAAATTATATTGAGAGGAACCATTCCATGCTGATTCACCATCCTTATTTATCATATCTTTAAAAGGTAGAAAAAAAGAGAAATGGAGGGAGGAAGGGAAAGAGAGGGAGGGAGGGAAAGAGAAAGAGGGAGTGGTGGAAAGAGAAGGAGAGGGAGAGGGAAAGACAGGGAGAGATAAAGGGTGAAGGAGAAGCAGAAGAAGGGGAAGATAAAGAAGAAGAAGGAGAAGGATAAAAAGGTGGAATAAGAGTGGCAAAGGGAGAGGGAGGGAGGGATAAAATCTGCATATATACAAAAGCTATTTATTTTATCTGGCTTCCCAAACAACTGTCCACTAATTAGTTGTTATCATACAATCATACAAAGGGATGAGTATATACTGATAAGGCATTATCTGAGGGGTTGCGCAGAATGTTTATTTATCTAATGTTGACCACATGTCATATCTCATAAGATTATATAATTATCCTAATGCATTTCAAATGTTTTCCTTTTGCTATACATACAGCAGAAAACACATTTCTTAAATTCACTGACAATCTACAATTCTACAATATAATTAATCAAAGGCATTATATGCCTACTTATATTTTTACACCATTCTGGTATAAATGCTTTTCATTTATATAAAGCGTAATCATAAATTTCTAGAAACATAATTTAGGGATAAATAATCATACCAATAATTATAAGAAGAACATAAACAGCTATGGCAATACAAAATATGGCTGCAAGGGGCAGCTCCCATGTTCCTTCTGAAGTTGTGATTGCTACCTTGTCCACACCCATGATGACTTCTGTTGGGAAAATTAAAACAATGTTAAATAGTTTCTTTGTTTAACAATCTTCCCTGTTCAGTCACACTTGTCTAGTAAGCTGGGGACTAGACAAGTACTAAAACAGCAGTTTTCCTAAAACTTTAAGGCTTTGGATATCCTGCACCGATACTGACATACCTAAGGGCCATACTCAAAAATGGTTTCTTGGAGGCTTACAAACAGTACTTGACCAAGTTTTGTACTAATGATCATCTATTGGTAACTGAGTATTGAGAAAGGTTTTTAAGTACAGCCCTAATAGATATAGTCTGCATTCTAGCATAAAAGACTTTTTAATTAAACATTGTTAGTCCCGTGGAATCAGTTTACAATATTGTGATGCATAAATCCATAGGATGTTAAAAAAAGGGAAAAAGAAAAATCACTGCCTTCATCCACTAAATCTTCTGGACTAGTGAGTGATTAACTCCAACGTCATCAAGAATTTCCTATCAATAAACTAAAAATTGTTAAAAATTGCAAACTTAAAAATTCTAGTATCAGTGTGTATATATATAATATATATATATATATATATATATATATATATAATGTATCATAATATATTATACATATATGTAAATGTATATATATGTACATATATATATATATTATATTATATATATATATATAATATAAAGTATATATATATATGTATATATATATATATATAATGTATATATATATGTATATATATATAATGTATATATATGTATATATATATACATATATATATATATATATATATATATATATATATATATATATATATGTACATATATATATAACATTTACATATATGTATACATATGCATACATATGCATACACACACACACATGCACACACACACACACACACACACACACACACACACACATACACACACACACACACACACACACACACACACACACACACACACACACACACCACACACACAACACACAAACACACAACACACACACACACACACACACACACACACACCACACACACACACACACACACACACACACACACACACACACACACACACAGATATATATATATATATATATAATATATATATATATATATATATATATATATATATATTATATGTTATCTATTATCTATCTATCTATCTATCTATATATATACCTATATACCTTTATATCTATATAACTTTATATTTATATACCTTTATAGATAGATTGATAAGAGACATGGATATATCTGTGAATGCGAATAGCCTTTTCTGTATTGTATACTGACATGGTGCTTCTCAATCAACATACCTGTGTCCCTATTATTTATCCACAAATGGTTCTGTGGACAAGTACAAATAAATCTATGAATTAAGGGAGATGCTACCTCAGCCAAGGATTCTTGCACATGCAATTAATATGAATATTTAAGAAATAACAGATAATCAATTTTACTTTTAAAAATCTTATCAAAGAAAATCCTTGGAGGAAAAAGGATGACATGTAGGAAACTACCCAGATATAGCAAAGATAGAGAAAAAATAATATAATACATATATACTCTTCATTAAAGAAGCAATATTCATCATGACATAAATCTGCACATATGAAAGATATTAGTGCAGTTAAATGATTCAAGTTATTGCAGTGACAGAGGCTATGTATCTTCACTGTAAAGAGTTGACAATACAGAGTCTGTAGGCTTCCCTGTTGATAAGGAATTAGCCAAAGCTCTATTTGGCCTGAGTATTTATGGTTTAAGTATGTTAGTCTATACAAGGGTGTAGGCCCCGGCAAAGCTTGATGCGGTTTTATATTCTGACCTAACGTGCTTAAAATTAAAACATAGTTCGCACTCGATTTATTCTGGGCATTTCTTCCTTTCATTCAAATCGTTCAAATGCTATTGATTCTAAGGTCAAGGCAAACATCCATTTATAGACAAATATATGATCTACATCAATAAATTGCAGAGGTGTTTCTTAACTATCATTGCATTGATGAAAAACTATCAAGTCTCATTTTTCTACATTCATCATTCGCTATTTTGCCCTGTTTTCCAGCTTACATCATTGTTACTTGCACTTTCTCAGAGTAATCCCGGACCGAAATTCTTGAGTATCATCACAACTTGTTTACATCGGTGTTGCCACTTGATATTTTTGGATTCACTATTCGAACATTTGATAAAACAGCCCTTGTATTTTAACTGTGAATTCCTGAGCTAGTGTTTGGATTAGCTGAGGTTTTATGAATTGTTAAAGCAATCATTTATGATGTGTGTACTGAAGAATGGATACAAGAAATATACAAAATAAATACTAGTTAATAATTTTACCTAAATATGGCGTTCGATCAGTGGCTTTGGTTTGGTACCCGATACAATTGTTTGAACACTTTAGAATAATATAAAATATCAATATATTGCCTCTACATGCCATGATAAAATTTTCTGTACCCATATCTTCATTACTTTTCCTGAGGTCCAAGTATCAACCCAAACATGTACATCAATGTCCATGAAACCCAACGAAACCGTGGTACAGATTCCACTTTGCGAAAAACATCAGAATTTTTTTTCGCCCGTACGTTAGATTTTTTCTATTAAAAACACAAAATAAAGTAACTATTAATTTTTCAGTGTTACGATAACACTATTTACCCAAACTAATGGTTACGAAATAAAGTAGAATACAAAATATTTATCTTTGTAGGCACCTTAGGCGTAAACGGTGTTGCCAGAATAGAACAATAATAGCAAAATAAACTAGAATAAGAATATGATTATCAAAAAATAAATGAGATTATATAAACCCACTTCAATGTCACTATAGTTATCAAATGACCCATATTAAATAACCGAGCCCACCACCATCTTCCAGAAATATTACTAGACAATAGATTAAGGTTTGCCACGTGTCTGGCCATATCTCCATGCTGAATAAGAATGAGTACCGAATGAGTAAGAATGAGTAGTCACTACGCAGGTGCCGATTGAGAGTATACGTAACCCTTCCTTCTCCCCCTTTTCTTCGGCATTATAACATTGCATCCCGATAACGAAGGTAGCCCTGAAGCCATGGCAGAGTGTGATCCGGCCTGCTGTGACGGAAACTTTGGAAAGGTAAAAACGATAGATAAAACAAAAAATAGGGTTTGAGGTGATGAAGAAGGGGAATTTCATCATATATAACACTGGTTGTTGTGTTAGTTGGCATGATATTATTCTTATATTTTGTCTATCTTTTTGGGTGACGTGTCCATGCTTTACTAATTCATCCAGGAGCTGGCAATTTGTATTACAGTTTCTTTAGATGTATTTCTCATTATAATCAGCAATATTATATGGTAGTTCTTATCAATTTACCCCACTTATATTCTAAGTAAGGTAAACTTTAGAGGTAGAGGTAGATGTAGAAGTAGAGATAGATGAGAGGCAGAGAGAGGTAGATATATAGAGAGAGGCAGAGAGATAGAGAGGTAGAGATAGATGAGGAAGAGTAGAGATAGAGGGGAAGAGGTAGAGAGAGACGAGAAAAAAAGAGGGTGGAGATTGATAGAGAGGTTGAGGCAGAGAGAGAGACACAGAGAAGTAGAGGTAGAGAGAGAGAGAGAGAGATAGAGTTAGAAATAGAGAGGTAGAGGAGATAGATAGAGAATAAGATAGGTAAAGGTAGAGAGAGAGATAGAGAGGTAGAGAGAGAGAAGGAGAGAGGTAGAGAGAGAAAAGAGGTAGAGTAGAGAGAGAGAAAGAGTAGAGATATAGAGAAGAGAAAAGAGAGGTAGAAGTAGAGAGAGAAAGATGTAGAGAGTAGGGTAGAGGTAGAGGAGAGTAGAGGAGAGAGAATAGAGAAGTAGGAGTAGAGAGAGACAGAAGTAGGGAGGGAGATTTAGAGAAGTGGGGAAGTAGAGGAAGAGACATAGAGAGTTAGACAGGTAGAGTAGAGAGAGAGGTAGAGGAGAGAGGTAGAGAGAGAGAGGGAGGGAGGGAGGAAGGAGGAGAAAAGAGAGAAAGATAGATAGAGAGACAGAGACAGACACAGACAGAGACACAGAGAGAGACAGAGGGAGAGAAGAGAGAGGGAGAGAGAGAGAAAGAGAGAGATTAGATAAGATCAGATAACTAGGTTTACCTGTTACATACATTCTCATTGACATTATACTTGAATTAATGTAATTTTCAATAACTTACCCTCATAGTCTTTAGAGATAGAAATATACCTTTCCTGATAAGTTCTGATAGTGAATTGAACAGATGTCGATGAGCCATTTCCAGGATATGACTCCATCTCTCCAGTTTTGTGTGAAACAGACCATCCTAACCGAATATAGCTCAACCTAAGCTTAGCCTGGTCTAGCCTAGAGTTTGCTTCACCTTCCGGCAACCTGTCTATGGATTGCGGTAATGATTTAAAAACAAGGGAGAATTGATAGAAATTTCATATATTTTATATCTTATTGCATCTTCTGAAACTGTTATCAAGCATCTTAATATTGTTATGGAAAAAAGTTATGTCCTAAGAAAGAAGGAAATCTAGCAAAAAAAAATGTTAGAATGATTGTGGTAACGTAAAAAAAAAGGATAGTGTGCAGAATAAAAGCGCATGGAAATGGAGAAAGACTCAGAAAATGGGCATAAGAATGCCCAAGTCAGTAACTGACAGGTTAAGAATATTAAAAGATAAGGCTACAATTGTATAATCTATTTCTTGTGCAGTAAGGAATTCAGCAATACCATGGCCACTTCATCAAAATCTCTAGCATGTTAATCCTTACAAAATATTGCTTATCAGTGTTAGAGGACCCTGTGGATCTGTTGTCTAATAAGGTTTTAATGCAAGCCATTTATTGCCTCTTTTGGTGGATGAAGGACAAATTTTAGGTTGGGAACCCCAGCAGTAGATATTGTTATTAATGCTGTTATTGTCATCATCATCATCAATCATCATCATCATCATTGTCATCCCGTCGTCACTGTCACTGTCACCATCACACTGTCACCGGCCACTGTCACTGTCACCGTCCCTGTCACCGCCACTGTCACCGCCACTTCACCATCACCGTCATCATCATCATCATCATCATCATCATCATCATCATCATCATCATCATCATCATCATCATCATCATCATCATCATCATCATCATCATCATCATCATCATATCACCATATCATTATCAGTATTTTTTTCTAGTAGTTGTAGTATTATTATTATCATTATTATTATTGTTAGTATCATTGTCATCATCATTAATGATTATTTTTTATTGCCGTCCGCAGATACTCATTGCTCTTGTGAGATATTTTTAAAAATCAAGTAATATGTTTTCACTAGTTTCTCCTTT